AAAGCAAGTCAAATAATGACATAAGAAGGGATGGAAAGGAAGACAAACTCAAGCACCAAATAGGAGACATAGGAGGCATACCCAGAGTCAGATCTCAAGTGCCTATATACAAATGCCACAAAGTCTGGGGAACAAACAGGGTGAACCTGAACTATTAATACATGAAGGTAGATATGATATAGTTGGAATTACAGAAACTTGGTGGTACCAAACCCATGACTGGAACATACTGATAGGATAGAAATTGGTCAAAAAAACCCAGACCCCATAAAAGAGGAGGTGGAATTGCACTGTATGTAAAGGACCACTATATTGCTACAGAAATGCATGAAACCAAAGATAAAACCCACATATGGGGAAAAAAAAGAATGACATGGCCATAGGTGTATACTATAGGTCACCCAATCAAGCAGAAAAAAATATAGATGTCCTTTTTGCTAACTAACAAATACAGATAGGAAAAACACTAAAATAGTAAAGGGGTCTTCAATTACCGTGACATCCATTGAAAAACTAATTCTGCATCAAGTGAAAAATCAATAGGTTCCTAATCAACCTAGCTGACAACTTTGTTGTCCAAAAGGGAGAGGAAGGAACTAGAGGGACAGCCATACTGGACTTAATTCTTACAAACAGAGAAGTGATAGAGGGAGTTGAAACTGCAGGAACCTTGGGTGAGAGACAGGGGTGAGTTTCAAAATGTTTTCTACCATTTCGGAGAGCTCACTTTGGGCATCTCAAGCAGTGCTCAAACACTGTTTTCTGTATCAACGCTGGTGAGCTGTGTAGGCATGTCTATTGCACGCATGCACCAAATGCGCATATTGTGCATGGAGGATTCAGAGACTGCCCTCTTTATCAATTATGGTGAACTGTGCTGTTTTTTAGTTAGCTGAGGCATGGCAATCCGCTCTGCCGTGTAAATCAGCTGAGCTAATAAACAACAGAATACAGGAGAGGTAGGAGAGGTAAAAGCGGGGGTGGGAGGGCGGGACCAGTCAAAAATTTTCCCTACCAGGTTTCCAAACCAGTCAAGGGAAACAGTCAGCCCACTAAAAGGAGAAGACAGCAAGGAAGTAACAGGGAACAGAGAGAAAGCAGAGCTACTTAACTCATTCTTTGCATTAGTCTTCACGCAAAAAAACCTACCAAAACATAACTGTAAAAGAAATAAAAGTTAAAATAAGCAACAACAACAAAAAAAGGTAAGAGGACACTTGTCTAATCTTGATGAGTACAAATTACAGGGACCTGATGGATTACATCTCAAAGTTCTAAATGAGATGGCAGATGTCGTCTTAGAACCACTATACCACATCTTTCAAATATCCTGGAGCACCAAGGAACTAGCAGAGGACTGGAAAAGAGCTGATGTGGTTTCCATCTTCAAAAAAGGGGAAAAAAACCACCCAGGAAACTACAGACCAATGAGCCTAACATCAATATCCAGGAAGATACTGGAAAAGATAATTAAAAAATAAATCTGCCAATATCTAGAAATGAGTAAAATAATAACTACTGGTCAGCATGGGTTTGTTAAAACAGATAATGCCAAACCAATCTTTTTTTTATTCTTCAACATAGTGATTAAGTTAGTAGACCAGTGAAATATTGTGGACATAATATATTTCTATTTCAGCAAGACATTCAAAAAAAGTAGATCACAACCTACTTCTTGGTAAGCTAAAAAAAAAGTGGAATAGATAGCTCCACCACTAGATGGACTCGCAACCGTACTCAATGAGTAGTCCTTAATGAGTCTAAGTCTACATGGAGGGAAGTAAGCAGTGGGGTGCTAACAAGGTTATGTCTTAGGCCCAATACTCTTCAATACCTTCATTAACGACTTAGATGAGGGAATAGAAGGGGAACTTACCAAATTTGCAGATAATACTAAGCTGGCAGGAATAGCTAACACCCTAGAACAAGATCCAGATGGATCTTGACAAACTTGAACACTCAGCTTTATCTAACAAAATGAAATTCAATGTAGAGAAAAGTAAGGTCTTACACGGGCAAGAAAAACCAAAACTACACATATCAGGGATGTGGTGGATCAGTGGATAAGATGCTGAGCTTGTCAATCAGAAAGTTCAGCAGTTCGAATCTCTAGCGCCGCATAATGGAGTAAGCTCCCATTCCTTGCCCCAGAAACCTAGCAGTTTGAAAGCATGTAAAAATGCAAGTAGAAAAATAGGGACCATGTTTGGTGGGAAGGTAACAGCGTTCCGTGCACCTTTGGGTTTTAGTCATGCTGGCCACATGACCATGGAATCGTCATCAGACAGCGCTGGCTCTTCGGCTTAGGAACGGAGATGAGCACCGCCCTAGAGTCAGGAACTAGCATGTATGTGCGAGGGAAACCTTTACCTTTACTGTACACATACAGACTGGGTAAAACCAGGCGTAATAGCAGTAACTGTGAGAGGGATCTTGGAGTTTTAGTAGACAACCAGCTAAATATGAGCCAGCAGTGTGCAGCAGCAGCCAAAAAAGCTAATGCAATCCTAAATTGTATTAACAGAGGGATACAATCAAGATCAAGGGAAATACTAATACCACTCTATAAAGCCTTAGACCACACCTAGAGTACTGCATCACATTATAAAAAAAGATGTTGAGACTCTAGAAAAAGTACAGAGAAGAGCAACCAGGATGATTAGGGGACTGGAGACTAAAACGTATGAAGAATGGTTACAGGAACTGGAAATGGCTAGTCTAGTGAAAAGAAGGACCAGGGGAAACATGATAGCAGTGTTCCAATATTTGAGGGGCTGTGACAGAGAGAAAGGTGTCAAAAGTTATTTTCCAAGGAACCTGAAGGCCAGACAAAGAATAACAAATGTAAACTGAACAAGGAGAAATTCAACCTAGAAATAAGGATAAATTTTCTGACAGTGAGAACAATCAACCAATGGAACAGCTTGCCTTCGGAAGTTGTGGGAGCTTCATCACTGGAGACTTTCAAGGGGAAATTGGACTGCCATTTGTCAGGGATGGCGTAGGGTCTCCTGCTTGGGCGGGGGTTGAATTAGATGACCTACAAGGTTCCTTCTAACTCTGTTAATCTATCTACCTAAACTGTAGAAGAGCACTCAGTGCTGAGGTCAAGGGGGAACAAATGACAAAATGTCACAGTGACATTATGGTCCTTAACATTGGCATGAAATTTTGAAATGCATGTTTGAAAGGGTGGAGATTCATGGCTAGCTGAAGATGATTCTGCCATTCTGTGATCAACATCCTATGTTAGGACTTTTTATTGCAAATCTGAAATGTCTGTAAGAAATCATAACCTTTTAAAGTTACTTTTAATACTGTAGTATTCCTGTTTCTAGACAGGATCCAACTCTGTCAGTCATTCATAAAGTCAGTGGTGGGATTCAGCCAGTTCGCACCACTTCAGGAGAAATGGACTTTCTGAGCAGTTTGGCAAACTGGTTGTTGGAAGATCTCATTAGGGCAGAAAACCAATTGTTAAATTATTTGAATCCCACCACTGCATAAAGTTATTAAGTTGGATGCCTTCAGTGATTGTGTGTGTGTGTGTGTGTGTGTGTGTGTGTGTGTGTGTTATCATCTTAGTCTCTTGAATTGTGAATGAATTAGGGTTGCTCCTTATGTTTGGGATATTATTGATTATATTGTTCCACTGTCATGTTTATATTATTCTATTTAATATTTAATCATTTTAATATCAATGTTTTGAAGATTTAAGATCAGATGATAGATACAATATCTGTGTGAGCCTTTCTTATTGATTTCTTGCAATTACATGGACAAGTCCCTGCAGTTATATTAGCAAGGATTTTGGAAGTGGTTTCAATACTGCCTTCTTCCAAGGGCTGAGAGGGAATGACTGGCACAAGGTCACTCAGTTGGCTTTATGCCAAAGTGGGACTAAAACTTATAGTCTTTTAAATGTCTATGGAGATTCTGTCACCCAGGTCATGGTTACTAAAATTTATATGCTTATTATACAATCACCATCTCAGCTGAACTAGGAAGGTCTTTGAGTATATTAGTTCTTTAAGAGTTATTTTAAAAAGCAGCAGCATTATATTAAGCCATATCACATTTGACTGGATTTATTTAGTGTGTAGTGAAATAGCCAGTACCAGTATGATGTGTAAATCTTGGTGTAAAAATGAATTTAGGAATCCTTGATTAAAGGACTAAAGAACCATTTTCCAGAAGACAAGTTTGTGAAGTTGCTACCTATAATCCCTATTAGGCTCCTACTTTATCTTATTTTTTGGAAGTAGGCACACTTTCCACTTAAGCATTTGATGTAGCCACTTACTATTTTATTTTCCAGAAATGTTTTTTCACCTTATGTGGATCCCAGAGTCATCCTTGGAAACAGAAATAAGGACTGATATTTTGCTTTCCAAATTAATTTAAAGAGTAGAATAAATTAGACAGAAAGTCTTGCATACAGAGGCATACCCTTTGGATTATTAAAGTAAAGGAATTTCTAAGTACAGTGTCCTGTATAACAATGATGCTTACAAATAAACCAAAGAAGACTTTTAAAAATATGGTTAAAAGATAAAAATGTAAACATTTAATTTAATTTATGGAGGTACATAAGTTAGAAAGTTAATATCCAGCTTTTTAACTTAGAAGAATTCAAGCTGCAGCCTATGTTTTTCATTTCAGTTTCATTCACCATTCATGACCTACTTGTCCATTTGGAGATTTATCAAGCTACTAAAATGTGTACTGCAATTCTGTAATTATATCAAAGATATAAACTGATTCATGTGATATAAATTCAGATATAAATGGAACCATCTCTCTGAAAAGTCAATAGAGAGTTGTCATTAGATAAAATGCACCGACTGAAGCTTTTGGTTCATGCATGATAGTTTACTTAGTAAATATAATCCTGCTTCATACTGGGTTCCAAAGTGAAACTAGAAGCAGCTGATTTTGTCTATGATGATACCAATAAGCATTTCATATTCTTAATTTTTATAACAATGTTTGCTCTTTACTTGAAGTTTGGTAGCTCCTCCTTTGATGAGACCACAGATGATTTCTTCTACCCTTTCTGGGTCTTTGATATGGACAGTTTTCTTCTGAAATTCTGGCATCTGAAAAAAAGTAAAAATCTGAATATTAATTTTACATATAAATATTTATTAAGCTAAGTAAGTGACTCTATTATGGAAAAACGTTACCATAGTAAAGAATGTAAAAACTAATATACTTTTAAATAGGAAAAGCAGAGGACGTATTAATTCAACACAGGCATAAGATTATCATTTGAGGAAGGATGACATGATTCTTGTTTATCTAACAATTAATTAATCGGCTTATTAAATTTGTAGTTCTAGACACACACACAGACACACACACATATACACATATACATGTACACACATACATACAAACTAACAGAAGAATAAGTGCACGCATTGAAGAACATAAGAACTCAATCAAAAAAGAAGAAACGACCTCTTCCCTGGTCCAACACCTCAAAGCCACAGGACATGAAATTGATTTTAAAAATATCAGAACTATCGCCAAAACCGAACACTTCAACAGCAGAATAATCAGAGAAGCCATAGAGATAGAAAAACGCCCACACAGCATGAACAAACGAGATGACACCTCCCGCCTTCCAGCCATTTGGAAACCCGCCCTCATGAACAGACGAGTACCTAACATGAAGAAGGACACCGGACCCACACCCATGAGAGCCACACAAGATGCCACCACATTTCCATATAGAAAACAGACTCCCACCCATTCAGAAAATGAGACACGACCATGGACCAGAAGCTGCACTGCAGCTGCATCACTACCCACTTCAAACCCCTCTGAGCCATACATGAAGCAAACCGACACCCACTATGAAGATGCAGCAGGACCACGTACTAGAAGCCAAACAGCAAGATCACAACTCACCAGCTCAAATCCCCCAGCAACTAAGACTAACCTGAGCACAACCAAGCACCCACCTGAACAGAACACGCCTCCAACCAATCAGAACACGGCTAACCCCCCAACCAATCAGAACACAGCCAAACCCCCTACCAATGAGAACACACCCCCACCCAATCAGAACACAGCCAAGCCCCCACCCAATCAAGTCCCACCCCCACTGGCAGTTAAAAGGAGGAAGCAGCTGCAATCTCACATTACTCTGAGAAGCACAGAGCCGGAGACAGAAGCCTGAAGATGATGAATGAGACTTCATCGAAACGTTGCCTAGATACTTCGAATCTTACGCAGGAGAAAACCCGAACAACCAAAGATCCACATACATACAAATATATATACTATAAATGCTTATTTAATTGTAACAAAATCGTAAATGCTTAATCATACCTGTGGGTCAAAGCTAAGAGAAAGGAGGGGCCTCTCTCATCTTTTTTTTTGGGGGGGGGGAAGAAGGAGGATATAAGAAGCCACATGGTGCCTGGGGGCTGGGAAGATCTGGACGGGGAGGAACCGGCTTCCCCTCAAATGGAACAAAAGCAGAGCCATCTCATATCTCCCCCAAGTCAGAGGAAACCTCTCCCTCCTTTGCCAGGTGTGGCTGCCTGGCGTTGGGGGAGGGAAGCGGGGCAGGGCTGGAAGCTCCTACGAAGACTGGCTTCTAATAACCAAGCAACAACCCTCCCCCCATTGGCTTCCACATAAGAAAAGGACTCCCCAAGGCTAAGCTCCAGTTTTCTCCCACAACTTCCAAGCAGAAAAGGTCCCTCCCATGTGGAGGCCGAAGGGGGTGGGTGTTGACCCCAGAAAAGCTCGAGCTCTCACCTGCACAAACAGGCTGGTTATTAGGAGCCCATCTTCCTTGGCACTCTTTTGGTCTGTGCATTTGGTGTCCCCCCTCCCCCCCTGCCCCATGCCAAAGGAAAGCCAACTGGGCTTTTCCTTCCCTCCTACCCTTCCTCCTGCTCCCTTCCCCCCATTCAATCCCACTTCGGGACAGAGGAGAATGCACTGGAAACGTGTGTTGGCTTTTTCAACATGCCTTTCTCCGGCGCTCGCC